TGGGGTGGTGTCCTGGAGGAGTGGGCCAAAGTATGGAGGCAGGAATAAGCCTGGAGAGGGGGTAGCTAGGTGGCACAGTGGATAGAGCACTGGCCCTGGAGTCAGGAGGACCTGAGTTCAAATCTGGCCTCAGACATATAACACTCACTAGCTGTGTGCCTCTGGACAAGTCACTTAACCCCAATTGCCTCACAAAAAAATGGTTAAAGGAATAAGCTTGGAGAGAGTATGTGTTTGTTGGTGTTGGGGGCCAGTGTTTGAGACAGTGAAGAAATGAGAGGCTCCTGGCTAGGGTGGAGAAGGTGTATGGGGGAAAAGGAGATGGTGGTTGGGTGGGCCCACCTCTTGAGGCCATTCCCCAGTTTTTCCTCACCCTTAAAGAGGAAAGCTGCTTTGCTTTTAGTTCAGGGCAAGACCTCAGGCCTATTAAGAAGTCAGGCCTCTCTTCTATGAGGTTGAAGCCATTACAACAGAAATCTCTAGGGATTCTAGCATGGCCAGGTCCAGAGGGGAATGGTCTACAGGCCACACCCAGAGGCTCTGGGGAAAGCTCCAGATTCTCCCACACTTCCTCCCTCTGCTGGGAGTTTGACTCAGGCAACATGAGTTCAGCCCAGAAAAGACTGAGAAAACGAAGTGGCCCTGGTGACCAGGTGCCCTGGGAACTGTGAGCTGATCGCTGAGGCCGATGTTCACTAAAGTTAGAATCAGAAAGCTGTGCCTTGGAACCTTGTTCTTTTCTAGGTATTTGAAAGAAAATGCCAACTTTGGGCCAAATGGAGAAAGAAAAATGATTTTTTTAAAGTGGTAGACTATGCAGAATTGCTCCTAGTGGTGGGGTGGTGGTGAGCAGGCCTTGGATTGTGTGTGTGTGTGTGTGTGTGTGTGTGTGTGTGTGTGTGTGTGTGAACCCAAAACGGAGACAGTCTGGGGTGGGGGCACTGACCCCTCCCTCTCTGAGTCTTCCCCCAATCTTCTCAATGACCTCTGCTCCCATGGCTTACTTACTGTTCCCTCACTCTCTCCTTTCCCCCTCCACCTTAGCTTCCTTCAAGGCTCAATTCAGGTGCTCTTCCGATTGAAGGCGTTCCTGATCTCCTTGTTTGTTAGTGTGTGCTCCCTCTCCAAATTACTCTGTATTGACTTATGGTGTCTTAGATCTCTGGAGTTCCTGCCATGAGCCGGAGAGCCAGAGCCCTGTGTGGAGATCTACCTGGGGCCTGGAGGAGAAAACCCGGGAAGCCTTGAAAACAAAGCTTAGATGAGCTAGGGTTGAGAAGGGGCTAGTTGCTGCTTACCCAGACCAGACACTGGCTTAAATGAAAGCAGATGAGACTGTGTTGGACCAGAAGGGAAAACTTCTAGCGTGTATAGAGAATGAGGGGCTGAAGGAGGGTACAGACTTCTGTCTCCATCAGGAAACCATCTCTGAGCACGCCTGTCTCCTTGTGTTCCAAGGCCCCAGCCTGAGATGCTGGATCTGGGCAAGAAACTACTCTGGCCATCCCTTACCACCCCCGAGCCCTTGGCCACAAGGAGGATGCCATAAGAGTGTGGCTGGCTCAGTGTAGACCCCACCCCTGCTGCTGGGAAACTTCTCAGAGTATGTGCCCAGCGAAAGGAGATCGTCCTCAATAGCCAAATAGAGAGAGAGCCTCAAAGGCTGCTGGGAGCTGTGGGTTCAAGGAGTCTGGGCTCTCTCTGAGCATTGGGGGGGGTGTAGAAGGCTGGCAACATGAGCTTCTCCTGCTTGCCACCTCAGCAGAGCCTCCGCCAGGTTCCCCCAGCCTCAGGCTGCTGGTTCCAAGCCAGGGCCTGGCAGGCAGCCCCTTGCTGGGGAGCTTGGCATCCTGGAACCCAACTCCTCAGCCCACTGGCCCACCTACGGGGACTGACTGGACCAAAGACTCTAGTGCTCCCTAATGATTGGTGGGACACACCCTTCACACATGTGCCAACCCAACCCAGATATAGATACACGCGTTTTTTCTTCTTATTCTCCTTCTAAAGGTGGGCTGAGGCACCTCCCTTCCCATCCACTACTCTAAGATGACCCCTTACCTGTGAATCCTCCTTTACAAGGAAAACACATTCTAGTCTTGCCTTTCCAGAAAGATTCACCCCAGACTCCTGGGTTCCCTAGTGTATGCAAGAGAATGACAGAGGAATTGGGTCCTGGGGGGAGTCAATAAATCAGCCAGTAAATCGTGGGGGATCCAGGAAGAATGGGAAGGCTGAGTGAGGCTGGCTGGGCCTGCCTTTCCATACTTTCCTGCCCCCAGTGAACTGAGATTACCTTGGGCCTCACCTGGGTGAGGTAGAAGGAACCAGGGGCGGGGCATGGGGATCCCACTGCCCTTGAGAAGCCTCCTATCATTTCTTCAATATCTCAATGACCACTGAGCCAGCCAGCTCTGCCTACATGGGCATTTTGGGGAAGGGCTCTCATTTCCTGGGTACCCATCACACTCCTCAACTAGCTGCAACTCATCTGGTTCACCAGCTCACCCCCACGGGACTGGGAACCCTTGGACCTCTAGTCTTCCTCTGTTTGTTGCCTGTAAGGTGAGACCTGTCTCCTCGACCAGGCTGGGAACTCCCAGAGGGCCATGCCTCTTCTTTCTCTAGGACCTCGAGCAGAGTGGAGTCAGGGCTGGGTCCTTGTTTGCAGCCATATTGGATCGAGCTGATGGACATTTGCCATCACGGGGCCCTGGATGGCACCACTAATGGAGAGGGAGGCCCCCAAGCTCTCAGCCCTCCTGGGAGGGGGCCCAAAACAGAGCTCTTCCAGCCTCTCCCAGCTCCACCCCTCCCCCTTCTCATCCTAGAGAACCTTGGAGGCAGCTGCATCTTGGCTCAGTTCAGACTGGTCCCCTCTCCCCTCCCATGTAGAGAAACCTCAGCCAGACTGACCCATGAGGCAGCCAGGAGGACTGGCAGCCTCTTGGAAGAAGCCTTCCAATTCCCACCCCCCCCCCCCCTGCACTGGCTGAAGGGGTATGAGACATTCAAGCTCAGAAACAGGCTGGTCCTCCCCAATCCCTGGGAGGACTCTCAAGGCCAAGAGCAGAGCTGGCAAAATGGCCCAGACCTGTAGCCTCATCCCTCTGTGCCCAGCCCCCTTCTGGAGCCTGAAACCCCCCTGCTCCCTCTCTCCATTGCTGTAGCCTCTTAGGAAAAGAGTCGGTAGATTTATTCCCACTAAAGGATAAGGGTGATATGACTTAAAGTGTGTGTGGGGAGTTAACAGGAAAGTGTTCATGCAAGGGACCTCAGGTAAGGTGATAATTTTGGTGAGAGAGGGGGGTTATATTTGTTTCATCCTTCAAAAGTGACTCTTTGCCTTGCTTTTATAATGACACCCTTCCAGGTGGTCCTAGAAGGGAAGGCCATCCCTCTTCCCAACTGAGATACCCAAGAAGTTCCCTGGGGGAAAGGCTAGGTGTCATTGAGCAGGATGAGCTATACATCTGAGAAACTTTCCACTGTTAGGGCTCTGGAGGCTGGGAGAAGAAGGGAGATCAAAGGAGCCAAAGAGGGAGAGGAAAGGAGGAAGAAGAAGAAGAAGAAGAAGGAAGGGAGAGAGAGATAGAGCTAGAGACAGAGACAGAGAGATAGAGACAGAAAAAGTGAGGGAGAGAGAGACAGAGAGGGAGGGAGAGAAAGAAAAAGGAAGGGAGGTAGAGACAGAGAAAGGGAGGAAGAGAGAGACAGAAAAAGGGAGGGAGAGACAGAGAAAGGAGAGAGAGAGAGTCAGAGGGAGGGAGGGAGACAGAGACAGAGAAAGAGGGAGAGGAGAGAGAGACACAGACAGAGAAAGAGAAGGATGGAGAGAGACAGAGAGACAGAAAGGGAGGGAGGGAGACAGAGACAGAGAAAGGGAGGAACAGAGAAAGGGACAGAAAGGGAAGGAGAGCAAGACAGAGAAAGGGAGGGGGAGGAGAGAGAAAGAAAGAGAAATGGAGGGATGGAGGGAGAGAGAAAGAGAAAAGAAGAAGAAGAAGAAGAAGAAGAAGAAGAAGAAGAAAGAGTGGGAAACAGTAACAAGAAAAGGAGAGAATAGGGAAAGAAGGATCTTAGGACTAGATGGCCAACATTCACATTTTACAGATAAGGAAACCGAGGCTCAGGGAGGTTAAGTGATTTCCCCAAGGTCACATAGGTAGTAAGAGTTAGAGGAGGTACTTCAACTTCAGAGCCAAAAAGAAGAAAGACAAGAGAAAGGGAAAGGGGGGAAGGGAGGATGCGACAGAGACAGGAAAAAAAAGTGAAGAGGGGTTGGGAAAGAATGAAAGGAGAAGGAGCCAAAGAAAGACGGAAAGAGAAGCAGAGAGGGAGGGGAGAGAGGGGGAGAGAGAGAGAGAGAGAGAGAGAGAGAGAGAGAGAGAGAGAG